GTGGAGAGAGAGGAAAAAAATGTCTAGTGCCTTTATTTCCCTGACCTTGGAAGTGAGATTTGGGGTGTCCATTTTGATCTCTTTTGCCCTTTTCTCCAGGAGAGCCTTGGCAGTGGGTGGCACCTGCACGGGGGAGCATGGCATCGGCCTGGGCAAACGTCAGCTTTTGCGCGAGGAAGTTGGGGAAGTGGCCCTCTCCACCATGCGGCAGATCAAGATGGCCTTGGACCCCAAAAACCTCATGAACCCTGGCAAGGTGCTCTAACCTCCGGAGGGCCTTGGCTGGGAGATGCTCCCGAATTTGCTTTCCTTGCTTGGATCTCCTCTCCCCAGCAGGGTCTTCGCCTCATCTGTGGACTGGGCTCTGTATCGGACTAAACTGTGTTTAATTCTATTCTGCTGAATAAACCAGTTCACAAGACATGATAACTCAAAAGCCAAGTAAGTGGCTTACAATGGTTTAGCAAAACCTGAAGACTCTGTACACCTGTGTCTCCCAACCTTGGCAACTTTAAGGCGCATGAATTCTTCAGCCAGCATGCTTTAATATGCGTGAACTTCCCTGAATTCCCCAGTTGGCATGTTTTAAGACTTGTGGACTTCAATTCCCAGAATTCCTCCTCCAGTCATGTTAGCTCAGGAATTCTGGGAGTTGAAGTCCACAAGTCTTAAACTTGCCAAGTTTGAAGACCCTTGTTTTAAGAAATGTTTGAACTTCAACTCCCAGAATTCTCCAGTCAACATGCTTTAAGATGCATGGACTTCAACTCCCAGCATGGCTGGCTGGGGAATTCTGGGAGTTGAAGTCCATGCATCTTAAAGTCAACAGGAAACATTGCCTTAAACACCACACCCACCTGTCAGTTCTCTTTGGATTTTTACAATTGAAAAAGGTGATCCAGCATTGGCAGCCATGCCTGATAAGAACGGTAAGCATACAGAACTTGGCAATTGTCTGAATTTGTCTTACAAATCTATATTAAAATTAATGCTGTGTGTTTGCATGGCGAGAGCTGCAGTCATTTGTGTTTATTCACATAATATGGAAATGCTCAGGTGTAATTCAAGGTCAGAGGTTGGCCTTTTGAACCAGGCTGGGAAGTAATGCCACATTTTCCAACTCAGGGGTATCAATTCCCAGAATTCCTCAGCCAGCATGCTCATAATGGAGAATTGAAGTCCACACATTGGGAATCTCAAAAGTTTGCAAACTGCAGAGGCATCTGTTAGAACCAATCCATTGTGGCAATACAACACCAATTCCACTCCTTTAGTATATCTGAGATGTCACAACACACATACAAAAAGCAACACTATCTTTGTCATGGCCACACACAAACCTTTCTGTAGATGCTTCAGGGCCGATTTAATGTATTTCACCGAAACTGGAGGTTGCAGAACATTCATTTGAAGAACTTCTAATCTCTTTATTTCTTCTTTGCCTTCAGGGCAAATCTAGCTTATACACAGTTGGCAGCGACAGGCTGAGCATGTTCCTGTTGGATGAGCCTGGAAGCAGAATTCCATGTTTTCCCCAGCTTTTCGGTTTACTTAGATCCACCTCTTGGGATCTTTATTTTGCTTTGTCAAAACTGCGGTGAATTGAAGCAGGATGAACCCAGGTTTTTCCTACTGGATTAATGCAGGATTCAATCATGGGGGAACATGCAGAATCTTTGCTGCTGCTGCTGCTTCTTCTGTGTCTGGATCAGGCTTTAAACCGCCAGGATGAAGCCACCTGTTTGGCTTAGCCGTGGGCCAAAAATAAGCCATTATCAGTACATGTTTTTGGTAGTAGCTGACCTACCAGCAGATGGGCTGGGCCCTGCGTCTCTGCATTCACACAGCGTATTGTTATCTGCACTGCAGTGCCTTTTACACTTAAGCACTGCAACTCTTAACCTATTCAGGATCCTCCAAGTAGTATAAGGGAGGGCAGATCCTTCAGCCAGATCCTCCTTTGATATTAACACAATGACAGAGTCGGAAGGGACCTTAGAGGTCTTCTAGTCCAACCCCCTACTCTAGCAGGAAACCCTGTATCATTTCAGACAAACGGTTGTCCAATCTCTTTTTAATAATCTTATTATTCCTTGCTCGATGGTCTCCTTCCTTCATCTTTTAATTCGATCCTGCTGTTCAGACCACGGCATCATATAGGCAACTCTAGACCAGAGCTAGGCATTGTGCCCATTGCTGCAATAACTAAGTTTATCCACCTTGCTTTGGTGGTCCTTTCCTTGACAACTCTGGGTTTGTTTGATGGTCTGTCACTTTAATTTTCTTGGCTGTCCATGGTATTCTCAGGAGTTGTCCTTCAGCCCCCAAATGGGTCAATACTTTTTCTTCCTATCCTTCTTCAAGGTTCAAGTATCACTTCCGCAAACTGTCACAGGGAATACTGTGGCTTGCAGGATTCAGGTCTTTGTAGGTATGGACGCAACACAGCACCTGAGTTTCTTCTCCAAGGCCTTCCTGGCAGCTCTACCCAGTGCCATTTCTTGAGTGCTTGTTCCTTTGCAGTTGATGCTTGATTCAAAAAGGCAGAGGTTCATCATCTGAAATGCTTATTATAATTCTTATTTTTTATTATTATTACTACATAGGCAATAGATATGTAATTAAAATAAAAATAAGAATTTTGAAGAATTCAAAGCAATGGAGATAAAAATATAGTTAAGAGCCATGGTGGTGCAGTGGTTAGAATGAAGTACTGCAGGCTCCTTCTGCTGCCGGCTGCCTGCAGTTTGGCAGTTCGAATCCCACCAGGCTCAAGGTTGACTCAGCCTTCCATCCTTCCGAGGTTGGTAAAATGAAGATCAAGACTGTTGGGGGCAAGAGGCTGACTCTGTAAACTGCTTAGAGAGGGCTGTAAAATAATATGAAGCAGTATACAAGTCTAAGTTCTTTGACCATTCAGTTATAACGGCACTGAAAAAGGTGACATGACTAATTTTCAGAGTTACCACCTTTGTAGCATCCCCATGATCATATGATTAAAATCCAGATGCTGTGGTTCACACTTATGGCCGTTGCTGCATCCCAAGTCACGTGATCACCTTTTGCAACCTTTTGACAAGCAATGGGGAAAATCACATTCACTTAACCAGGTTACTAACTTACCAATTGCAGCAATTCAACTTTACAAATGTGGCAAAGAAAGATTGTAAAAATGGGGTAAAACTCACTTAACCAATATCTCATTTAACAATTGTAATAACGTTCTTATTATAATCAGAGTTCTTATTCTGATTGTTAGACCTGTTGTCATCAGTCTTTATATTCAATTTTGGTCCCTTTTCTTTCACTGTGCTCCTTTTATTACCAGAGTTTGCAGCTCCTTTGCATTTTTAGCTATCAGGGAGCGCCACCAGCATGGTGAAGGTTATTGGAAGTTTCTTCGTCCAGTTATTTTAAGAAAACCCTATCTTGCAGAATTTCAACCTGTTGGCAATGTAATCCGCTCAGCAGGCATCCACAATATTGCAGGCCATCCAAATCCAGAATATACATCCTGGTGAAAAAGAGATGCTCCTTGTCACGTATGCGAAGCCATCCCTGTACTGGTGGCTGGAAAAGTTTGGTCCTTTTAAATCAAGAGACAGAACTTGAGAAAAGCTGTGAATCTCTGAGGGCAGGGAAAACAACACTCGGATGGTTCCGGCATTTATGGGTCAATTTTGGAATGTCCAAGAATTTGGGAAATTCAGATGAGGCAGACTGAGGAACTTTTTGCTTCCCAAATGGCTGTTTCTGTAGGAACAGGTAAGGTGGTTAGCCAGAAATTAGGCTGGGTAAAACTCCAGTTTTGTTGTGCTACGATGTTATTCTTTTTCTGAACAGCCTTTATCCATGTCTCCAGTTGGCCTTGGAGATATTGTTTATATTTTTAAAACGGGCAATCTGTAGTAATTTAAATCCTGCTGCAATTTCATTACAGATAATTTTCTTTTTTTTTTTTAATATAAACCCTGTTTTCAGATTGCGGCTTAACCAGAGCATTGCTCACAAACATTGCTACACCCCCAATACATGTCCACTTCCAGGGACTCACATTTCACAAGTTTAAAAAGAAGTGTGGTAAACGCACCAAATGCTCAGTCCTCCCCTCACATCCCAAATCCACCAGACAAAGGAGAATACCTGGAAATAAAATAACAGTGACTATTTTATTGAGCATTATTGAATACCATATCAAAACACTTGACTAATAGGGGAAGCTTGCCTTCCCAAGCTTTGATTTTTGTTTTTTTTTGTTTTTCTCCTTTTTTGTAATTTTTAAAGTTTGTTTTCTTTTTTTCATTTTTTTTCCTATATAAATACAGATACTTTTTTTTCCTGCGGATCAAAACCGTCCATCAGAGGTTTCCCCCACCCCACCCGCAAACCCCGTGGCTCAGCCAGGCTTCGCTTCGTGCTCCATTGGTGGACTGGCAGGGCAGGAGGGGGGTGGGTGGGTGTTGGTGGGTGGGTGGGTCGTATCCTCTGTGTGTGTCGCTTTAAGAAAAAGGCCAGTCCTGCGCTCCACAAAGGGCTTGAAAAAACAGTTCAGGTCTTGTTGCTTGCAGGAGGTTTGCAAAGGAGGACAGCCCCCTGAAGCCAGCACGGAGGTCGAGGTGGGGGGGGGGGTGGACGAGGAAGAAAGAGTAAAAGGATTTTTGGCAATTGGGGGGGGGGGGGTGGTTGGGGGGGGGGGGGGGGGGGGGAGAGAAAAAGGTCTTGGGAATTCTGCTCCCCACCTGCCCGAGAATGCAGCCTTATAAACATCACCTTGGCACGTTGGTTGATGCCACGTTGCTGTTTTTTGTAAACATTTGAAAGGACAAACTTAACACCGCCATCCGAAAAATGCCACAGAAAACGCCTGATTCTTCTCCTTCTCTTCCTCCTCAGGACTGGGAGGAGGGGGGGGGAGGAAGAAGGCGGGTGGGGTGGGGGGAAAATGGCCTTGCTGTTCCAAGAAAATAAAAAGGGACGGGTAAACTACCCCCCCCTTTTTTCCCCTCCCCGTGCAAAAAGGGGACCTGTGTGTGGGCAGGAAGGAAGAGTCCTTGAATGGCACCGACGCGCGTCGTGCTCCGTTTCGCTCTTGGCCGGCTCTAGCCCAAAGGAACATCATGGCGTTGCTGTGGAGTGGGGTAGGGGGGTCCCGGTGGCCACTGGCTCCTGCCCCGGGCCCTCTTCTTCATCCCCCTGCCCGGACTGGAGGAGGGTTCTCCAAGTATGGCCTCGCGGAGCGAGAGTTGCTTGTCTTCTCTGCCTCTGAAGTCCAGAACTGAACACTAAACGCCCAGGCTGCAGGGATGTCCCAGAGCTGGTTTGGAAGAAGTTGGGAGTGTGTGTGTGTGTGTGTGTGCGCGTGTGTGTACGAAGGATGGATGGTGAGATGACCTGTTGAGAGAGAGAGAGAGAAAAAAACATTGGTACTGAAAAGCCCCCCCAAAAAACTTCTACGCAAAGAAGCCAATGTGTTTCATTTCTACGTCTTTCAAGAAATAAAAGAATAACAGTGTTGGAAGGGACCTTGGAGGTCTTCTAGTCCAGCCCCTTGCTCAGGCAGGAGACCCTCTACCATTTCAGACAAGTGCCTGTCCAGTCTCTTCTTTAAAAACCTCCAGGGATGGAAAACCCACAACTTCTGAAGGAAAGTCTTTTCCACTGGTTAATTGTCCTCCCTGTTAGCAAGTTTCTCCTCAATTCCAGATTGCTTCTAGCGTCGTTCCAGCATAATCTAGAGCAAGCGGTTCCCAGCAACTTTAAGACATGTGGACTTCAACTCCCAGAATTCCCCCAGCCACATTCAAATTCAGAATAGAGATGGAAGGGACCTTGGACATCTTCTAGTCCGCCCCCCTGCTAAAACAGGAGACCTCATACCATTTCAGAGAAGTGGCTGTCTAGTCCCGTGACGGCGAACCTATGGCATGCATGCCACAGGTGGCATGCAGAGCGATTTGCGCCGACACGAGCCGCAGGCAAACTTACCTCACTGTGCCTCATAGTTGATTTTCAGCCTGTTTGAGGCCTTTTTTGGCCTCCCAGAGATTTGAGGAAAGCCTTTGCAGGCCGAAAAATAGGCCCGTTTCATCTCTTCCTGTATTTCCAGAAATACCGGAAGTGACGAAACGGGCCCATTTTTCAGACTGCAAAGGCTGCAGAAGTTTTCCTTCAAGCCTTTGGGAGGCCGAAAAAGGCCTCAAACGGGCCGAAAAGCAGAGGAGAGGAGTTTCAGTTTCAGTTTCAGAGCAGCAAGCAGCTTTAGTTCAGAACAGTTGAGCTAAGGCACGCCTAGACTCCTTGCTGTCTCCTTTCTCAAACAGCAAATACTGTTTCAGTTTCCAAACAGCCCTCAACTCTCACACACTTGGACGCTAGCCAGATCGATGCTGGCAGGCAGAGGCAGATTTTTTCCCCGCCTTATTTTCCTCCCCAAAAACTAAGCCCGACCATACAGTTTCATAGCGAAGCATGGGTATCGAGCTGGTCTTTCATACATCTTCCTACAAGTGGCCTTCAACTATGATCTTTCTCAAATTCTTGGGCTGAGTAGACGTTCTCCCACCCCACCCTCCTGGGAGACACAAAAAGCTGTGTAAAATTAGATTAAAAGCAAGGAGGTGTTTCAATCAGCAGGGGGAGAATGTCCTCCCAGAAGCACAATATACTAGAAGGATAAACCCTGTGGGGATTGCAAAGATAAATGGGCTCATGTCATGAGAACAGGTAGGGCAACGGTCTTGCACCAAAATGAATGAACCTGGGAAACATCCTGTTTCAGAAACACTTTTATTAAACAATGCATCACTCGGCCCAAGGGAAAATCCTTCTATTTTGGTTCGTTGAAATAGGTCTCAAGGTTTATGAGAACATTTGAATCAAACGGGAACTCAGGCAAGGTTTAGTTCAGAAGTCCTGGCTGCACAGGCAGCGTTAGGCCGTCCCTAATGGTCTCAAAAGCTCAGCTGTCAAAGCTGATTTGAGCTTGGTGGGGAAACCACCAGAAAAAAAAGCTAGGGCCATACCGGGAATTCGAAAGATAATCTGGGAAGACATGGAATGGCAAACCGGTTTCATCCTTTTGCCTGAAGGCCGGCTCAAGGACTTTACTTACTTAGTTTTGTTTTGAAAAAAATGAAAACAAATATTAGCTTTGAGAATTTATTTCCTGTTTGTGATTCTTACTGACAAATCACTCACTGCGGAACTGTTTAAAAGACGGTGTTTTCCCCTCTCACTTGTTAATAACCAATTCCTTTATTATGTGGGCAATGGCATTTCTTTCCATTTTTGCCTGCACGAAACATTTTGGTTGCTTTCAAACGCCCCCCGGAAAAGCAACACACCATTCCCTAAATCTTTTTCTTCCCAAACTCAGTGGGCACTCCCCATCTCGACTGGGACAGAGACTTTCCAAATTCTCAGCCAGCGTGACCTTAAATGGATCGGCCATCTTAGTCCAGACTGCCTTTTTCTTCAGGTTAAACTGGGAGTTAGCAGAGGACTCTATTTAGGAAGTGAGATTCTTTACAATGGGCACATTCAAGACCAAGATTAAGTTATAGATTATAGATTAACAGAGTTGGAAGGGGCCTTGTAGGTCATCTAGTCCAACCCTCCGCCTAAGCAGGAGACCCTACACCATTTCTGACAGAGGGCAGTCCAGTCTCTTCTTGAAAGCCTCCAGTGATGAAGCTACAACTTCTGAAGGCAACTTTTGTTCCATGGGTTGATTGTTCTCACTGTCAGAAAATGTCTCCTCATTTCCAGGTTGAATCTCTCCTGGATCAGTTTCCATCCGTTATTCCTTGTCTGGCCTTCGGATGCTTTGGAAAACAGCTGGACTGCCTCTGCTTTGTGGCAGCCCGAGAGAGTAGAAGGCCGCTCTCCTGTCTCCCCTGGTCCTTCTCTTCCCTAGACTAGCCAGGCCCAGTTCCTGTAACCGTCTGTTGTAAGTTTGAGCCTCCAGTCCCCTCATCATCTTGGTTGCTCTTTGCTGTATTTTTTCTAGAGCCTCAACATCTTTTTTATAGTGTGGTGACCAAAACTGGATGCAGGACTCTAGGTGTGGTCTTAACTAAGGCTTTATGGAGTACCTCACTTGATCTCGATTGTATCCCTCTGTTAATGCAGCTTAGGGTTGCATTGGCTTTTTGGGCTGCCGCTGCACACGGCTGGCTCCTATTTAGCTGCCTCACCTGGAAAGAGGTCCGGGTATGATCCCGCGGTCAATCTGACGGGTGCTCTGGGCAGGATCTGTTGACTTCAAACCAGGAATCTATACAGCTGCGGAAGAGAAAAGGGAGCGGAGGCTTCTGTGAGGGACGCTGTGGAAGGGCTGCTCGCAGGAGCCTTGGGAGACCAGCAGGGTCCTTTCCCAGCCCCTCAACCCAGCCCTTCTTTGGGGGGGCGGGGAGGTTCTTCATACTCTACCTCTTGTGATAAATGCAGAGGCAGGGCAGCCGGGCTATCGTGTCTCCTTGCAGAAGTTCCTCTAGGCAAATAACACATTCGCCGGAATCCTTGGTGAGAACGTCGTCTGCGGGGAGAGAGAAAGAGAAGGCAGCGTGAGCCAGGTCAGGAAAGGGCAGAAAAGGGTTCACGCACACACACACACACACACACACACACACACACACACAAGACCTGAGGTGGGAGAGACGTTTAGGATCTCCCAGGTCAGGACATCTGTGATGACCCAGGGCAGGACACAACAATAACAAAGTAAAGGTAATTAAAAATAAAAAAAACCCAACACAAACCACACTGAAGGAATTAACACGATAGGACAGGATGATCAATTGCAGGCTTCCAAAGGATAAAGCAGCAACCGCAGTTGGGAGGACGCCAAAACCCCAGGAATGCAGGAGAATGAAACCATGGGCCCCCTTTAGACTTGACCCCCAACCCAGGACTAAGTTCCCCCTTGGCCCACGGCTCGGGGTCTAATGTCTGAATTGGCAACCAAGGGAAGACGCTCCCCCCGGGGTCCCTTAGGAATCAAGCCTGCCCCCTTGGAATGAGGGGTCCAGACTTTGCCCCAATTGCCCATCCCGCCTGCCAAGGATGCCCGAAGCTTGGAAAGAGGACAGGTCCAAATCCTCGGGGGCTGGGAACGCTGGGCGTGGTAGTCCCCATGCACCTGGGGCAGACCAGATGCAGCACCTGTTCCCTGCCGTCTCCCCACAAAGGAAGCCCACCTTTGGCTTGGCGGCTCCACAAATAAGCCCGAAATGGGGATAGCAGTTGGGAGGAGGGAGAAGGAGGCCTCAGTCGCTACCTTAAGTGCGGGGGGGGGGGGGGGGCTAGCCCTGATCCTCCCCCCCTCTCCCCCCCCAGCGCTTGACCTGAGACAACCTCAAGCAGGGGCATGTCAGATGCACAACCGAGCTGAGATGGGGGGGGGGAGAGAAGGAGGAGGAAAGGGGCCTCCCTGAGAGCAAGCAAGCCAGGCCCGGCTGCATCCCAGCTGGCTCGGTTGGCACCGTCCCTCCGACGGAGGCTGGGCAGGGAGGCGCTCTGGCTTGCAGCACCATGCCACGCTGATGCCCTCCCCCTGGCTCCACTGGGGGGTGGGGGGGGCTGCCTGGCGCCATCTCTGCTATCTCGACCTGGCTGGGTAGAACAACGGCACGGGCTGCAGGGCTGGCACGGGCTGGCACTGTTGCTGGAGCAGATGTCTCCCTGCCCGCCCACCAGGGCCCCTCCTCCTGGGGAGATGCCAGGATCCTTCCTGCACCTGGGAAGCAGGGGAGCTGGCCAGCTGCCTGAGACACCAACGGCGGCGGTTGCGCTGGACAAAGCCAGCCCTGCCCTCTGGCTGCCCCGTGCCAGGCAGAAGGATACTGAGGAGGACGGGCACAAGGAGGAGCGGCTCCCCCCCCCCCCGGGCTCTTCCCTCCCCCAACTCTTCCGGAGTGGGCTGCTGCATCCCAGGCCCCTCCCTAGATGGCAGCAGAGTCCTGACTCCAGAGCCCTTGGGATCTCAGGCCAAGGCCAGACGGGCAGCTCCCCTCCCCTCCTTGCCAGAGGAGCCACCAATGGGCACCTCGTCTTGCCCGGGGGCGGGGGAGGGCAGGGGGGGAGAGGAGGGGGGGTGGCTGGCTGGCAGGGCAAGAATTGAAGTTGGCGCCCAGCAGAGAAGCAGCGACTCAAAACAATCTCGCCTTCTGGAAAACGAAGGAAGGCGGCCATCGTTCTTCGCCCGGGGGGCAGAAACGGGGCTCTCCTGCCCCTTTTTCTCTCCCTGCCTCACCCCAGGCCCGGCCTTTCTGGACCAGCGTGCCAGGTTGTGGCTCATGCCACGCACAAGGAAGAACTCACCGTTGTAGGAGAGGCGGGGTTTGCTCAGACACATGATAAAGTGCATTTCCATTTCATCAGAAGCCACTGATTTGGAGCAAACGGGGCACTTGAAACCTGGAAAAGAGGGTTGGGGGGGGCGGGGGGGGGGCAGAGAGGAAGCGGGTTAGGGGGCAGGCTCATCACCCCCCCATCCAGATGCAGAGCCGTTTGGTGGGAAGAGGCTGACATGTCTATGTACAGGTGCAGGTATATACAGGCATGTGGGTATGCAGGCCGTCCCTCACTTACGACTGCAATTGAGACCAAACTTTTATGTTGTTGTGGGACATCTCTGAAGTGCGTTTTGCCCCATTTTAGGACCTTTTCTTGCTATGGTTGTTAAGCGAATCACTGCAGTTGTTAAATGAATCTGGGTCCCCCCCCCCTTTGGCTCTGCTTGTCAGAAGGTCGCAAAAGGGGAGCATACAACCCCGGGACACGGCGACCGTCAAAAAAATGAAGCAGTTTCCCAGTGTCCAAATGTTTTGATCCTACGATCATAGGGAGGCTACAGCGATCGTAAGGGTGGAAAACCGTTGCAAGTCCCTTTTCTTCTCAGCGCCATTGTAACTTCGAAGGGCCACTAAATATAACTTCCTACAAGGATGCCAAAGCGGATTTTTCATAGCCCAGTGATGAATTCCTGGAGGCAACCTGTCATTCCCGCTGCACCCGAAGCACGTGCGTGCACACACACACACACACACACACACCCCGCTGTGTTAAATGGAACAAAACAGTTGCAAAGTTGAGCACGACAAAAAGCCCCACCAAATGCTCAGAGAGACAAAACTGCACACAAGAGAAAAAAACTTTTTTGTTTTGTGTTTTTTTAATGCCGCTTTTACTTCCATGATCTGAGGTGACATTTTGTTCAAGGATTAACATTGTACAGTAAAATCTGACAGGAGCAAAAAAAGAAAGAAAAAGGAAGGGACAGAAAGAGAAAGAAAGAGGAAAGAAGAGAAAGAAAGAGAGAAAGAAAAAGAGGAAGGGAGAGCAAGCAAGCAAGCAAGCAAGCAAGCAAGCAAGCAAGCAAGCAAGCAAGAAAGAAAGAAAGAAAGAAAGAAAGAAAGAAAGAAAGAAAGAAAGAAAGAAAGAAAGAAAGAAAGAAAGAAAAAGAAAGAAAGAAAGAAAGAAAGAAAGAAAGAAAGAAAGAAAGAAAGAAAGAAAGAAAGAAAGAGGAAGGGAAAGAAAGAAAGAGCAAGAAAGAAGAAGGGACAGAAAGAGAAAGAAAGAAGGAGGAAAGAAGAGAAAGAGAGAAAGAAAAAGAGGAAGGGAGAGAAAGAAAGAAAGAAAGAAAGAAAGAAAGAAAGAAAGAAAGAAAGAAAGAAAGAAAGAAAGAAAGAAAGAAAGAAAGAAAGAAAAGAAAGAAAGCAAGAGGAAGGGAAAGCAAGAAAGCAAGAAAGCAAGAGGAAGGTAGAGAAAGAAAGAGAGAAAGAAAGTGCAAGAAAGAAAGAAAAGGAAGGAAGAGAAAGAAAGAAAGAAAAATAGGAAGAAAAAAAAGAAATAGGTGGGGGGGAGAAAGAAAACTGTGCTATTATTTTTAATTGTTCCATTATTTATCATATATTAATATTTTACATTGTCCCTACACCTAGAGTGATTTTACTGCCTTTATAAAATAAAATAAAATAAAAATTAAAGGACGGGGTTCTACTGGCTTTCAAAGTCCAGCTCCTTTCGAGCGTTCCATGCGAAGGGAAATGTTTAATTTCTGCGTGTCTGCAAATGCAGGCTCTTTTTGTGAGGGGAAAAGAACCACCTCCCAGCTGTTCTCCTGAAGGATGGGGCAGATTCAACCATAAGTGGTGCAAAGGGAGCTGGGATTTTTTTTTTTTTAAATTCTTATGTAAGATGACGTGCCGAAAATTACTCAAGTTTCATATAAACCGAGTGAGACAACTGAGATTCAAGAAGCAGGGGGTTGCAATATTTATTTTTTGCAAGGAACGCTGCTGGCTGCACGGACCAGAAAAATAGAATATAACAAACCAACAAAAGCTTAGCCCTCTCTCCACCCTTCGGATGGGCCCAGCACCTGCTTAAAATATTAAGGGCTTGGCCACAGCTGCCTTCTCCTTAGGGCTTAGCCCCCCTCCCCCCCCCAATGCGAATTATAACCCAATTACAGCGGATTCCATAGCTCATGCTAAAGACGCTGTTAAACGGATATTAAACCGCATATGTCAACCAGCCTGATCTGAATAATCCTGGCTAGGATTTCAAAGAATGGAAGCACGAACAATGCTCGTGGTGTGTGTGTGTGTGTGTGTGTGTGTGTGAGAGAGAGAGAGAGAGAGAGAGAGAGAGAGAGAGAGAGGGAGGGAGGGAGGGAGGGAGAGAGAGAGGGAGATATGCTTTCCACCCTCTGCAGTGAAGGCTCTCACATGTCTTAAGTGGAAATGCTGTTACTCCCCCCTAAAAGAGGACCTGACCTGGGGGGCTCACATTGCAGCCCTGGTCAAAAGGGCCCAGCAGAGATTAGACTACCTGAGGCTTCTCAGGAAACAACAACTGAATGGAAAACTGCTGGTGACCTTCTACTGCTGCACCACAGAGAGCATTTTAACTTACTGCACCTGTGTAGGGTTTGCCAATTGCACAGGGGCAGGTAGGACAGCGCTCCAGAGGGTGAACGTCATTGCCCAGAGGATTATGGGTTGCCCTCTCCCCTCTTTGGAAGAGCTTTGTAGCTCCCGCTGCCTTAAGAAAGTTCAAAACATCCTCAAAGATCCATCTCATCTTGGGCACCCCTTTTTTTGAACTATTACCATCTGGCAGACGGTACAGGACAATAAAAACAAGGACAAATTAGGCTGAAAAACAGCTTCCATTCCAGGGCAGGAGCTCTTGAATTCTGCTGTATAGTGCAGTGTTGCTGTAGTGTCAGGGGTTTTCCATTCAATGTGTGGAGTGTGAAGGATGCGTGTTTGTGTTTATTTGCATGGTCATGATGTGCACTGAAGATGGTGTTTGATTTCGTTGTATGGGGTGCAATGGCAATAAAGTAGAACTAAGCTAAACTAAACTAAACTAAACTTATTAGGCATGTATCTTTGGGTTCAGCATTTAAGGCTCAATCGTGGGCAAAGACAGAATATTCTATTAGCCCAGGGGTGTCAAAATCCAGGCAAGCGGGTTGGATCCAGCCCACGGGGCCATCCTGGAAACAGTGAAGGACCGGCTCATGGTGTCTCCTGCCAGCGAAAACGGAGCTCGGGAGGGCTGCGCGTGGCCCCCCCCCCCCCCCCATGCTGTGTTTTTCAGCCATGACAGCCAGGGGTGGGGTTCAATTTTTTTTAACAACCGATTCTGTGGGCGTGGCTTAGTTGGTGGGCGTGGCTTGGTGGTCATGTGACTGGCTGGGGATGGCCAACTCAACATCACTCACATCGAGGCACACATCTCCTCACATGGCCTCTCGTGACTGTGGGGATGCTGCAACAGTCGTAACTGTGAAAAACAGTCATAAGTCACTTTTTTCAGTGCCCTTGTAACTTTGAATGGCCACTCCACACAAGCAAAGTACCAGCAAAGGAGGGGGAAAAAACTCCAGAGACAGGAAGTCTTGTCCTGCCAAGACTGTAAAAAGGGTTAACGGAGAGGCAGTTTCTGTAAGCAACACCAGAATGTTTCCTTCCTGCCTTCCTTACAGGATTAGCCCAGTAATTTCCGAATTGCTTAGAATGTTAACAACCGGTTTTAGCGAATAGGTGCGAACCGGTAGAATCCCACCCCTGATGACAGCCTCCTGCAGCCTCATGTCAGTGAAAATGAGGTTCGGGAGGACCATGCATGGCCCCCTCAGTTCTGTTTTCAGCCAAAACAGCCTCCCGCCGCCTTCTGCCACCAAAAACAGAGCTCGGGCGCAGGCCATCCAAGCCAAAAATGGAACCACACCCCGCCCCGTCCCAGCCAAGCCACCCAGCGCCCTGAGCTCAAACACAACCCTGATGCGGCCTCAATGAAATTGAGTCTGACACCCCTGCATTAGCCAGACAAGCAAGGCTCAGAATATGCAGTGTTCTTCACAGCAGAGGTAGTCCTCGACTTGAGATAACAAGAGAGATTCCATGGCTAAGCATGGAGGTTGTTAAGTGAGTCGTGCCCGATTTAGCAATTTTTTTTTTTTTTTTGGCCATGGTTTTAAGTGAATTACTGCAGTTGTTAAGCATTGACTTTGTTCATTGGATGCCCCCAGGAACAGAGTGATGACCCGGGGTGTGACACAAAAATAACAAAGTCACAAAAGTAGAATACATTCCTTTTAATGCCTCTAATTTGGCCCCCAATGTCCAATTATCCTCGGCTGGATATCAAACTCTTCCAAAAATAGTCTGCAAAGGAAAGAAACGCACTCCGAACCCAAAGTAAAGATAATTAGAAATAAAAAAGAACAACACAAAACACGCTGAAGTAATTAACACGGCAGGCCAGGATGATAAATTGCAGACTTCCAACAGATAAAGCAGCACCCACAGTTGGGAAGACACCAAAACCCAGATAAGCCTCGACAAAGATAATGCACTCTTTGATTCCAGCAAGGAGCTGTGTGCAAATGCCCCACTTATATCCTGTTTTCCCAGCTACAACTAATGAAAGGGATCAGGGCCTTTTTCTCTCCCGTAAGCCATGTTGCTCCCTTCTCCGTTCCTCCCTGCATGCCGTAGGATGAAGAGGGGGTGGCCCTGGGTCTTCCTCTGAATGCCCAGCTGGACTGTGCTCTTCCCCCATTTCCTCCACAGCCACCGGAGCCACACTCCCACTCCCTGTCAGCTGCTCAATCTCCCCCTCAGAATCAGACTCCAACAAGGGCAGGACAAACAGTCACAAACGGCAATTCCAGGAATTCGGGATTCTGCAAGCATCCTAAGTACTTGCTGGCTGCCCTGCACCCAAATTCTGTTTAAATGTCTTTGGTGCATGCCACAATGGTTGTAAGTGCAAGTCCCTTTATTCGGTGCCGAATGTGGCTGTTCCAACCTGGGAAGGTGTCTCTGGAAAAGAAGAGAGGGATCCAGTCAGACTGAAAGCAAAAGTGACTTTCTGCTACCGTCCGCAAGTGTATTTGG